AAGCATCTGGCTAGTTCAGAGGACAGGCTGAGTTGAAACAACTGAGGTACAAAAAGCCACTGAATGCTCGTATTGTTTGGTTGACTATGCAGGCCTGGGGCTGGTAGTCTGAGCATCTACAGAGAAGATAACACTATGCAATATAACAAACATGGGGGATTCCTTCTACCTTGTTTGTAAGGTCCAATATTGTTCTCACTATTTCATTTTGTTCCAATTAATTGTTTTGCTTTATTCAATGTTCTGTTTTGATTGGTTTTATATGGTTTTGTTTTAATTTGATTTTGCTATATCTGATAGAATGGACAACTGTTGTGAAGATAAGATATACTATGGTAGTTGTTCATTTTTCGTATTATCCTGCTTTGATGTTCTTTACCAATTTCACTGCTTTGTTTTGATTGGCTTTATTCTGTTTTGTTTTGTTGAGTTTTATTATCTTTAAAATAAAATATGAAAAAATTAAAATTTTAAAAAGAGCTCAGTATGAGAGTCTCATAAGGACATCACTGAACTGAAGCTGCGTGGCTTTATATTGGTAGAATCAGGAAGCCAGAATGAAGGGCAGGAACTCAGGTAGGGACAGGGGAGACTGGACGGTCAGGAGGTCTGTTACACAACTGAGCTTTGGCCAATCTAGGGGATAAATGAGAGCCTGAGGAGGAGAGGGCCAGAGCATTGACCCCTTCAGGCAATGCATTTTGATCCTACTTGGGTTTGTGGACCTATAGGCTTTTTAGTCTCTAACCAGGCAATCTCGGAGGTTTGGGGTATATGGCTCCAAAAGTTCCTTACCCCTGGGTATCCATTTTGTGCCTACCTCCGGTCAGTGCCCTCACAATTTTTTCTTCTTTTTGAGACAGGGTCTTGTTATATAGTTCTGTCTGGTTTTGAACTCACTAACCCAGGCTCACCTTGACCTCAAGGAGATCCTCCTGCCTCACTCAGGAGAGTGCTGGAATTACAGCCATCACCACTATGCCCATCAAGACATACATTTGCAGAACCACTGCAGTGCCTTCCTACAGGATTTGGTTAGTGTTTTTTAATGAATTAAGGACTACAATTTTCTGATCTCTATTTAGAAATGGTTTTGCAGCTTTATGGAAGGAGTCCAGGGTTATACATGTGGTGCAAAAGTGCTGTAACTACTGAGTCACCCAACCCTTCCATTACTATTATTACTATTATTTGTGAGTTTTTGTTTGTTTCCTTTTTTGTTTATCTATTGTTTGAGATAGGATCTCACTATATAACATAGGCTGGCCACAAACTTTTGGTGATCCAACTCCGTCAGCCTCAGCAGTTCTGGGATTACAAAAGTGTACCAGTAAACCTAGCTTGTTTTTGGTTCTTTTTTGAGAGAGGATCACTCTGTAGTTCATGCTGGGCTTGAACGCACTGTGTAGCTCAGGTGGGCAGTGAAGTTACAGCAGTTCTCCTGCTTTATCCTCCCAAGTGCTGGGACTATAGGCATGCACTTTGATGGCCAGCAATTATTACTATTATTTGATCCAGTATTTAAATTTACAGAATGTTTTTAAATTTTAAATTTCCTTTTTAAGACAAGATTTTGCCAAGTAGTCCCAAGTGGTCTTGAAGTGCCTCTGTAGCCCAGGTTGGCCTTGAATGGCAGCAATCCTCCTGCCTCAGCCTCCCATATGCTGGGATTATAAGTGTACATCTCCATGCTTTTTTATTGTTTTTAGTGTCCTGTCATAATGCATGGTGTTCAGGCATTGGATTCACTGTTTCTTAGGAATCTGTTAAGGCTTGATTCATGTTTTTGCACAGAACTGACTGTATTGATGTTCCACGTGTTCCATCCATTGACTGTATTGATGTCGAATGCATCCTCTACATGTTGAATATAATGTTCTTATAGATTAGCCAGGTGTGATGGTTCACACATGTTACCCCAGCACTTAGGAGGATGAGGCAGGAGGATAACTACAAGTTTGAGGCCAGCCTGGGCTACAAAGTGACTTCAAGACCCCCCTGAACAGCATAGTGAAACCCTACCTCAAAAAGATAAAACAAATAAACAAAACAAAAATAAATTCATAACATCATACATGTGAATTTTCTTGCTTATTTTTTTCTTTTTCTTCTTTTATGCTGAGTATGGACTCAGGACTTGTCCATGCTAGTTAAGTCTACCAGTGAGCTGTTTCTAGGTGTTTGTCAGTTTTCTTCTTTATTGGCGGTACTGAGGACCCAACCCAGAACTGCTCTACCACTGCACTACATCCTCACACCTTTGTATTTTGAGACCAGGTCTTGCTGAATCACCAGGTGAGCTTTCACCGTGCCCCTGTGTGTTGGGCCAGTGGGGTAGGAACTTGAAGGCCCGGTTCCTGTACAGGCTGAGGGGTGGAGCTGCAGGGAGAGGTGGGCACCACTTTCTGGCTGTCTGAATGTTGGCAATGCTTGAGTGGTGAGGTCAAGGCTGGGGAAGGCCGAAGTCACCAGCTGCTGGCAGAGACAGTGCCCCTCCAGTGCCCCGGAGCCACCTTCCACCTCTGCCACTCCTCACCTTCCTGGGGAAGGAACCCAGGACCTCCACACTGAGCTCCATCCCCAGGCAGTTTTACATCTTGTGAGATGGGCTTTTGCAAAGTTTTCCAGGCTGGGCTGGGAACTTGCAGTCCTTCTGCCTCAGCCTCCTAGAGCATTGAAATGATGGGCCTGCAGCACTATACCCAGTTTCAGGGGACTGCTTTTGCTAAATCCAGTGGCCACGTGGTATAGGGAACCCAGCCAAGAGCCCTGATTGTGTCTAGAATGCCATGAGAAAAACTAAAAAACAGAGACTAGTACCATATTCCAACAATGGCTGGGAAGTCAGTGTCTCTGGTCCGAGTTCCTCCACTCCCAAAGCAGCCACTCTTTATTCCTCTATAGCGTGGATAGGTGGGGCTAGCAAAGGATCACTGTTCCTCGGAAGACTCAGGCTCAAGAGGGCATAGACAAGAATGCACAAGTCTTATGCTTTGAAGTATCTTGACCTGGAGTATAATCCAGGTCCCCCCCCCCCCAACTGGCCCAACACACAGGGTCACAGTGAAATTCTTGAGATAATTCAAGAAGGCGTAGATGATCTTATGCTTAGAAGTGTCAATGGGAAATCTCAGATGGGTGGTACCAATAATCTCAATTCTTCCTTTTATCCCATAGGGAAATCTGCAAAATTAGCCATTGTGACTCTGTGGTCCCCAACAACATGGTCAACAATGCGGATGAGAAGACATCTGGTGGCGAATTGCTGGAGCCGTGCCTTGGCCTGGCCATCGCTGTCTGCGGGGTCCTCGCTCCAGGCTGCCCTCCGCTCTGCACAGTCTCAGCCCTGGACACCAGCGCAGCTCACTGTGCTGCCCAGATCTGCACACCTGTTCTGTCCTAAGTACAGTTTCCCTGCTCCCTGCATGCAGCCGTGTCCTCTGCAGAGCTCTCAGTCTGTTTGGGAGAAGGAGCAGCGCTGTCCAAGTTTGCGTTTCCTTGGGTGACCTTCTTCTGGCCTAGTGTTCTCACTCAGATCACTTACATTTTATACTTCTATCACTGTGTGAAGATTTTCAAGTTTTTTTGAGGGGGAGTTGTTTTGTTGTTTTAGATGGTAGTGGGGACCCAGCAACATGGTCTTTGAAGCTCGCTTATACATCAAGCTCACTACAGCTGTCTTCACACTTCTCTCCTTGTACTTGGAATATTCTGCCTCAAAGTTTATCTTGTGAGTTAGGGCTTAGTTAACCTGCATAGAGTATGAACCCACAAAAGCAAATGCACTGTCTGCTGCATTCCCCCTTAGGGCGTTGAGTGACATACATGGCTTTAGTAGCTGTCTGGGTGCCACCCAAACGTGGAAGCCACACTTCGATTCCAAGTTGAATTCAAAGAATATCAACCAAGCTACTTGGACCTGTAAGCCCAGGGCTTGACAGCATGAGAGAGAAGGATCACAGTCTTGCCTGCCTGGGGAATATAGTGAGACTGTGTCTCAAAATAAAAACCAAAAGGGGTCTGGAGAGGATGGCAGAGCTGTGAGCAGCAACAGAGCAACCTTTGGAGATTCAGAATCCAACACTGGAGAACAACAGAGAGAAGTAGGAAGGTGGATCCCTGGGAGCCAGGAAGGATCTGAAGGGCAAACTGGAGCCCACGGAGAAGGTGAAGAAATGGACTCCAGTGAAGACAAAGGAGAGGGCGCTCTGCACTGTCTCCCCAGCTCCTGGCTCAGGCAGGAGAAAGGAAGATGGAGTCCAGGGACACAGCACAGTGACCCTGGGAAAATGAACTAGGGGAGCAGCACTGGCTGCTGGGGTGTCTGAACAGGGGAAAGTGGTTACCACACAGGGGCTACCGACAACACTGCAGAAGGAAACACTGTTACGGGCTATTCCAGACCAGGAGCCACCTCTGGTCCAGTGATGGCAAAGCCTGAGTCCTTAATGGTTGTGACATGTGTTGCAACACTTGGTGGCAAGACGGCATCACTCAGGCTGCAGGTGCTAGGGTTTGTGTCTAGATGTCCCCAAAACCTCATGCAATACTAGGTGGGGCTATTTCCGAGATGTTGGCTTAGAGTGTGATTGGGAGACTCCAAGACACTAGAATTAAGGGTGTTGAGTGCTACCTGCCCTGAGTAGTTTGAATAAGATGTAAGGGAGAGAAAGAACTGCTGTTAAACCCTTCTTGGCTCTCTTTTTCATGAACTGTTTCTTTATGATGCTCCTCTGACTGAGCCGAGAGACTATGGACTGAAACAGAGCTTAATAAATCTTTCCCTCTTTAACTTTGGGCGTCCAGTGTGTTGAATCAGCAACGAGATGACTAAAACAAGGCCTTTTCATTTGATCTGCTTGATAAGAAAGTATTGCTATTTTCATGTATATGGGACTCTAAAAACCTTTCTCAGTGTCAAAACAGGTACTGAAAAGCTCGGCCAGGATTAACGCTCATTACGTTGTTATAGGAAGAACAAATAATGAGTCTGTGATATGTGCGTTTAGAACTTTTATTTCAAATCAAAGAATATTCTCAGTAGAAAACCCATGTGGAAATATTTAATGTTGCTGAGGGCGAGACAGACAGGGGCGGCAGCGCTGGAGCAGTCAGTCCTGGGCTCCTAGGGTGGGAGCTTCCCTAGGCGGGAGGTCGCTGTCCGCTGTCCTGGCGGAGGTGGCCCAGATACCAGCAGCTGAGCTGGGTCCTGGGGCACTGCAGGCTCTTCAGCTCCAGAGCCTGGATCTAGCCAGGTCCCCCGGAGACCCGAGTGTTCCCTTCAAAGGTGCGAGTGATTTCCTCAAAAGTCCTGCCTCGGGTCTCGGGGACTTTGAAGAAGGTGAACAGCAGAAAGATAATTAAGAAGACAGCGAAGATGAGAAAAACATACGCACCTAAAGAGGCCTAGTGAAAGAAAGGGAAGGTTGATATTAATTATGCAACTTTGTCCCCAGCGAATACAACCTCCTTCACATCTGTGTCTCCAGAGGCCTTAAGCTATAGCCAGCCCCTACCTGAATGAGAAGGTACCGCTTCTCTGAGGCTTATTTCTGACGCCAATGTTTAGCTATTGTATTTCTCTGGAATTGGTGTTGTACCTTTCTTGTTTACTAAAGGCAGCTGTTTATAAACACCTACCATTCTTGTCTACACTAAAATCTGGTTTCTGAAAAATCTCATGCAAGTAAGAAGGGTTTGTAGAAGCCCACTGCCAAATCCAAACACATCAATTCAGGATTATTTTATTTTATTGTTTATTTTTGAGACAGATTCTCACTATATAGTTCAAACTGACCTTGAACTCACAGCAATCCCCCTGCCTCCACCTCTAAGTGCTGAGAGATTACAGGTATGCACCATAATGCCCAGTGCCCCCAGGTCATTTTATAATGGGGTCTAGTTGATTTGTTAGACCCTAGCTTAACTGAGTGAGTGAGCCTTTAGGATCAGGGAAGGGCTAATTCAGGTTGGTGATGAGGCGTTGGTTTGGAAGGGTTGGGGCTTATCACTATCATTATTTTCTAGGCAAACTTGCCTCATCTAGGGGTGGTTTTTTGAGACAGGGTCAGTGCTGCTAGCCTGCTCTCAGATGTATGATCCTTCTGCCTCAGCTTCCTGAGTGCTAGGGTAACAGCTATGAACTGCCACACCACACTTAGACTCATGATTTTTTCCAAGTTCCTGGGTTTGCCCTCCTGAGTCAACCTGCATTCTTTTTTTCTGTACTTCATTGAAATTGAGAAAAAAGGTCTGGTTTAAGGCCCCTTTTAGCTAACTTTTCACAGATTCAACAAAGATGATGCTGCTGTATCTTAAACATGTTGACATTGGTGGAATTTTCATTTACTTACTGCAGCCAAGGGGAAGAGCAGTCCAACCAAAAAGTTGGAGGTCCAGTTAGAACAACCAGCCACAGCCATGGCGGCTGGGCGGGGTCCCTGGCTGAAGAGCTCGGCCACGATGAACCAGGGGATGGGGCCGGGTCCGATCTCAAAGAAGGCCACATAGATCAAGATAGCCGCGATGCAGATGTAGCTCATAAAATTGTATGTGCTCTGGAAGGGGAATGGAGGGAGGAGACAGGGTTAGAGACAGCATGAGAGCTCTGGCCACATGATGTCTCCCTCTGTCTCAGGCACATGCAACTTGGGGACCCAGGCAAGCACCTGGCCTTTTGTGGTGCTAGCTAAGTCAGTTCACATATATCACTTTCCACTAAGACCATTTCACCATCCATAAAATGGGACTACCCTCAAGTCTACTGCTTTTCTTTTTTTGGGACAAGGTCTTGATCTCATGGTGATCCTCCTGCCTCAGCTTCCCACACATTGAGATTACAGGCATGTGCCACACCACCTGGATAACATGACTTTATCAGTGATCTCCAAAGTCACCAACCTGTGCCCTGTCACCTGTGACCTCTCCATACCACCTTCCAGCTCCCTGTCAATCACAGGGCGCTCACCTTCAGCAACAGAGAGACTGTCATGATGATGGAACAAACAGCCATGCCGCCGAGGCCGGTCATGTGCAGGCTCCTTCTTCCCACACTTTCCACCAGAAACACCTAGGACAATGACACGACACTGCTGTGTCCCGCTCATGAGATCCCTGTGTGCATGACTTCAATCCTGCCTTACGAAAAGTAGGGCAGCTGTTCCAGCCACAGCGCCCCTCTCCTGTGCCCTCTGTAACCTACTGTAGTCCTCCCTTGTTTGCTAGAAGGCAAAGACTCCTTGCACCCATCATGCAATATTGTTTTCCCCAATGATGAAGAAAACAGAAAAGCTTTGTATAAAAATTTCAGAAGGCTGAAAGCTAATCAGCCAACCTTTGACATCTGTAATGTCCTCCCCCACGGGACCCTGCCTTGCAACTTACAGAAAACACAGTGAAGATGGTGTTAACCACGCCCGCTCCAATGGTGGCGTAGATGGGCTCCTGGACGCCTGCATCCTTGAAGATTCCAGTTGAATAATAGAACACCTAACAGGAACCAAATGATGCACCTGTGCTGACTGCACAGAACAGTTACGTAGAATGCTGAAAAAAGAAACTCAAAAAATCTCAGAAGCTGAATTATTTTTTGGAGTTTCCATGTGATTCTTTCTGCAAATGAATTATCTTCTGCCTCTGATCTGCAGATGACTCTCCATCCCAGCCACTCATTTTTACTTCTCCTTGTAATGCATATTCCCACTGTTCTGTTTACTCCTCCTTATATCCACTTTGTTAACTTATAGAAAGGTTTAAGTTCTTCTCAGGCTGTATCCCAAAACTTCAAAACTTGATGTGCCAGCTTGGTAGAGACAACCTGGAATGAGCAACCATAGCCCCTCTGCCCTCTTTTTTTGGTTTAGTTCAGGCTGGCTTTACTCTGTCAGTCCAGTCCGGTCTTGAACTTGCGACAAGCCTGGTTCAGCCTCCAATCACTGGAATCACAGACATGTGTCACAACATCCCTTTAAGTCTGCTCATTTAATAAGAGTTTATTCTGACCCTGTCTAGGTTTGGTGGCATGCACCTATAATGCCAGCACTTGGGAGACTGAGGCAGGAGATCTCTGTGAGCTCAAGGCCAGCCTGGGCTACAAAGTGAGTTCAATGTCAGCCTGACCTGCATAGTAAACCTATTTCTCAAAAAGAAAAGAAGAAGGAGAAGAAGAAGAAGGAGGAAGAGGAGGAGGAAGAGGAGGAGGAGGAGGAGAAAGAGAAAAAGGAGGAGAAGAAGGAGGACGAGAAAGAGGAGGAAGAGGAGGAAGAGAAGAAGGAGAAGGAGGAGGAGGAAGAGAAGAAAAAGAAAGAGCTTGCACTGGATATCTCAGCACTATGCTCTTTTCAAGGGATTTAGGACATAATACCAGCTGCTAATTTTATTTAATACATACTATGGATATAAAGTATTCTTTAGTAAATGATTTTTTATGGTTTTGTTTTGTCTTTCCAGGTGGTGGGGATGGAACCGTGGGTTTTGCTAGGTGTTTTCAGAGCTACATGCTAATCCTTATTATTTGCTGGACTGCTACACTTACTCTACAGGTATTGATAGTGGAGTCAGACTTTATGAAAACAAATGAACTCTCTCACCCAGAGTTTTAGCTACTATAGCAACATTCCTTTGTCTTCCTAATGAACACAATGAAGGTAGTACTCTACATTGGCATTTAGATTCTCAGGCAACAGCTCTTCTGATGCCTAATACCTAAAGCAGGAATCACGAATATTTAGCCAGGCATGGGGGAACACTCCTAACATCTCAGCATTCTGGAAGGCTGAGGCAGGAGGGCTGCAAGGCTAAACGCAGGCTGGGGAGTTTAGTGAGTCAATGAAATTTTGTGTCAAAATAGAAAAAGAACTCAAAAGTAGCTCAATGTAAAGACCCAGAGTTCAATCCCAGGTACAAAATGGTAGTAGTGGTGCAGTAGAGGCGATCAGGTGGGTAAGACTTTGGATATCCAGAGCTACATTCCCAGCCCTTTTTATTCTGAGATAGGATTTTGCTAAATGGCCCAGGCTAGGTTAGAGCTTGAGCTCCTCCTGCCTTGGCCTCCCAGAGTGCTGGGATTACAGGCCACCACACCCAGCTCATGGTGGTTTTTGATGAAAATTCACAGCACGGGGCTAGGGCAAGGCAACCCAGGAGGGACTCCTGTTGCATTTTAATAAGCCCCTCCTCCCAGGCTGTGCCTGACCCACGTACCTCATGTAGTTCCAGGCCTGCTGCCCCCCAATTTCCCTGGCACAGCATTTACTCCAGCGATGTAACAGATGCATATCATCTTCCAATGAGCAAGCACCAGACTGAAAACTACTGAAATCACTTGAGATGCTTCTGTGAACTATCTATTTTTGTCTTCCCAGACTGAGAAAACAGCTTGTACCCTCCTTGAAGGACTGTGAGTTTATCATTTGTTTTAGATAGGTTCTTACTGTATTGTCAGGCTAGCCCTCGCATCCACCAGCCTCTATCTACCACAGAACTGGGACATGGGCACGAGTGCCACATGGGGCTGGCTAGTGCCACAGGTGAAACACTGCAGGTGCCTGACGCAAGCGTGGACACTCACAGCATTGATCCCCGAGAGCTGCTGGGAGAGCTGCAGCATGATGGCGATCAGGATGGGCTGCTGATATTTGCGGGATCTAAAGAGCTCCAGCACGGTGACTGTAGGCTCCTGGTTCATCTGCACACTCTCGTCCTTCATCTCCTGGATGTCCTGGGACACGTCCTGGGTGCCCCACAGTCGCTGGAGAACTGGTGAGAAGAACCAAGAGGAGAGAATAGAGCATGCAGCGCACGCGGCAGTGAGGAAAGAGCCAAATAGGGCAAGGACCAGGCACCAGCACCTCAGCTTCCCTTCACCCCGTCCCACAGGGGCTCAGGTTTTCCACTAGAGAAGCCGGAGACCTCTTTACCCAGTCCTGAGGAGCAGGGGAAAGGGGGAGAAACAGATGGAGCCCCCTCTCACTAACGAATTGAAGCCCCCATTCCTAGTGTGAGGCATGGAGGGCACTCACTCTTTGTAGCGCGCTCCTCCTCATTTCTGTTAATGAGCAAAAATCTAGGACTTTCAGGGCAGAAAGGAAGCGCTACACTTTGCAAGAAGGCTGGGAGGATGGTGCCGCCCAGCAGCACAGGCCAGCGCTCCTCAGTCCCCAAGATGAACTTCAGGCCAAAGACCTAGAAACCAGATAAAGATAGTGTCACAAAGCCCATATTCCGTAGGACACAAATTCTAAAAAAGCCATCGAAGCTGCAGAGGAGGAGCTGGGCGGATCCGGAGTCCCTGCAGAAGCCCGTTCCTTTGTCTGAAGGACTGAATACTTCTGCAAGCAGGGAGGCATCGCAGCTTCCTGAGGCACCTCAGCCTGTGGTGAGTGCCCAGCACAGTCTGCCCAAATCTCAGACTGTTCCGGACCCCCCAGGCTTCTGGGTGCAGTGAAGTGGAGCAGTGGGTTAGAGGCCACTACAGCTGCCTCCCCCCCCCCCTACACTTGGAAGTCTGCTGAGCTCCTGACGGATGGGCGGGCTTACACTAACCCCCGAGCCCAGCCGCGCCTAGCCAACTGCCTGCAGAGGAGGAGCTGGGCGGATCTGGAGTGCCTGCAGAAGTCCCTTCCTTTGCCTAGAGGACTGTGGATATCTCTGCAAGCAGGGAGGGATCACAGGCTCCTGAGGCACTGTGGCCTGTGGAGAGCACCCTAACCCGGCTGCAATTGAAGAGCTGTGGATCTTCCAAGGGGCAGGTGGGCGCACAGTGTCCCTGAGGCCCAGCTTGTCTGGAACTGCGGAGTTCTGAGCAGGCAGAGGAGGGACACTGGTTCTGCAGGCCCAATGGCTTGGGGTAGTGCGGTGTCAGAGGCTCAGTAGCTCCAAGCATAGAAGGGGATTTTCAACAGATCCTGAGGAAGCTTTCAAATAACACTTGAAACACAGAAATATACAAAATGACAAAACGAAAGACCAAATTACAACCACAAACCTCCAGCCCATCTCAGGAAACCCTAGGAGCAATGTATATAGAAGAAAATATATCCCATCCACCTCATATATCGGACATAATAGCTACTGAAGTTGACAAACAACTCCAGGAAGCTTTAAAGAAATTCAAACTCGAAATAATCTCCCAGATAAAAGAAGAAATGATAAAAGAAATGAAAGAGATTCTAAATATATCTAAAGAAAACACAGATAAAAAATTGGAGGAACTAAACAAAAAGATAGAATCCCTAGACGAGCAATATAAGAAACAAACAGAATACATAATGCAGATGCACAGAGATATACAGGAAATAAAAAACTCCACTGAAAGTTGTAAAAACCGCCTTAATGAAAGTGAAGATAGAATTTCAGACCTTGAAGACATGATTGCAGCTAGTGAACAGGAAAGGAAAGATCTTTTGAAAGTAACAAGGAATCAGGAAACAACAATTCAACAACTGCAAGATGATGCAAAGAAGAATAACATAAGAATGATAGGGATTAATGAAAGAGAGGGAGACAACATAAAGGATGTCAAGCGGATATTTAGAGAAGTAATAGCTGAAAATTTCCCAAGCATGAGATCAGAAACTGACATCAAGATCAGTGAAGCATATAGAACTCCAAACACTCATAACCAAAATAAAACTACACCCAGACATATAATAATCACCATCCCAGAAATCCAACACAAGAATAGATTACTAAAAGCTGTCAGAGAGAAAAGACAGATCACTTATAAAGGAAAACCTATCAGAATCACAGCAGACTTCTCAGCACAAACGATAAAGTCAAGAAGAGCATGGAGTGAAATATTCCAGATCCTAAAGCAAAGTGATTTCCAACCAAGACTGATATATCCTGCAAAACTATCATTCAAAATAGATGGTGCAATACGATACTTCCATGACAAAGAACAGCTGAAGAACTTCATGAACACCAAACCGACCCTGCAAAAAATATTGAAAGACAGTTTAGATACACAAAGGAAAAAACCACTAAGCAAAGCAAATAATTAAACAGAACAGAAAGATAAAGATGCAACAGCAGAGAGATAACATTCCTACAATTAACCAGCATTTAACAGTAATAACCATTAATGTAAATGGTCTCAATGCACCAATCAAAAGAAACAGACTAGCAGAATGGATCAAGAAACAAAATCCAACCATATGCTGTTTACAGGAAACCCATCTAACCCAGAAGGATACTCACAGACTGAAAGTCAAAGGATGGAAAACAATTCTTCATGCAGCAGGAATCCAGAAAAAGGCAGGAGTAGCCATTCTGTTTGCAGACAACGTGAACTTTAAACCAACAATGACCATAAAGGACAAAGAAGGTCACTACATACTTGTAAGGGGAAAACTCCAAGAGGAAGAGATAACTATCTTAAATATATACGCACCAAACTCCAGAGCACCAAGTTATATAAAACAATTATTAACAGAAATGAAAACTCAAATTATCAGTAACACAATTGTAACAGGAGACCTTAATACGCCATTGACACCAAGGGACAGATCAACCAGACAGAAAATGAGCAAAGAAATAACAGAACTGAATCATACCTGTGAACAAATGGGTTTGATAGACATATACAGGATGTTCCACCCAACAACATCAGAATACACATTCTTCTCAGCAGTACATGGATCATTTTCTAAAATAGACCATATATTAGCTCACAGAACATATTTAAACAAGTGCAAAAGAGCTGAAATCATCCCTTGCATGTTATCGGATCATAGCGCTCTGAAATTAGAAATTAATGATAAAAGATACTGCAAAAATCCCACAAACACATGGAAACTGAATAACACACTCTTGAGTAATCAGTGGGTCACAGAGGAAATTAAAGAAGAAATCAAACAATACCTAAAAGAAAATGAAAATACAGATACAACTTACCGGAACCTGTGGGATGCAATGAAAGCCGTCCTGAGAGGAAAATTTATTGCACTGAGTTCCCACATCAGGAAAACAGAACGAATACAAATAAATAACTTGATGCTACACCTCAAACAGCTAGAAAAAGAAGAGCAAGTCAAGCCCAAAGCCAAAAGAAGACAGGAAATTATAAAAATCAGAGCAGAAATCAATGCAATAGAGACTAAGAAAACAATCCAAAGAATCAACAAATCAAAGAGTTGGTTCTTTGAAAGAATAAATAAAATCGATAAGCCCCTAGCCAACCTTATTAAAAAAAGGGAAGAAAAAGCTCAAATTCATGCAATAAGAAATGAAAAAGGAGAAATCACTACAGACCCAATAGAAATACAGAAGATCATCAACACCTACTTCGAAAACCTCTACTCTCAAAAGTTTGATAACACAGAAGAAATAGACAGATTCTTAGAAGCATATGAAGTGCCAAAGCTAGATCAAGAGGATGTAAAACTGTTGAATAACCCAATCTCTGTTACTGAAATTGAAAATGTAATTAAGTCCTTATCCACCAAGAAGAGCCCAGGCCCAGATGGATTCACTGCAGAATTCTACAAGAAATACAAAGAAGACCTAATGCCGACACTCCTCAAACTGTTCAATGAAATTGAAAGGGAAGCAATCCTTCCTAAGTCGTTCCTGGAAGCAAATATTACTCTAGTACCAAAACCTGAGAAAGACCCAACTAAAAAAGAGAACTATAGACCGATCTCCCTAATGAACACAGATGCAAAAATCCTCAATAAAATATTGGCAAATAGGATCCAGCAAATCATCAAGAAGATTATACACCATGACCAAGTGGGATTCATCCCAGGAATGCAAGGATGGTTCAACATACGCAAATCAATAAATGTAATCCACCATATCAATAAAGCCAAAAATAAGAATCACATGATCATTTCTATAGATGCAGAAAAAGCCTTCGATAAGGTCCAACATTTATTCATGATAAAAACTCTACAGAAAATTGGAATAGATGGTCTTTACCTCAATATAATAAAGGCCATTTATGACAAACCAACAGCCAGCATCATTCTAAATGGCCAAAAATTGAAAGCCTTTACTTTAAAATCAGGCACAAGACAAGGATGTCCTTTATCACCACTCCTATTTAATATAGTACTGGAAGTACTAGCCAGAGCAATTAGGCAAGAAAGAGAAATAAAAGGGGTAAAGATAGGAAAAGAAGAAGTTAAGTTATCATTGTTTGCAGATGACATGATACTCTACATAGAAGACCCCCTAAACTCCATTGAAATACTCTTAGATACAATAAATAAATTCAGTAATGTGGCTGGATACAAAATCAATACTCAGAAATCAATAGCATTCCTATACACGAACAACAAAATTACAGAGAGGGAAATAAGAGAAACTGGACTATTCACATTAGCAAGCAAAAAAATGAAATATTTAGGAATTACTCTTACGAAAGAAGTGAAAGACTTATACAGTGAAAACTATAATACACTGAAAAAGGAAATTGAAGATGATCTCAGAAAATGGAAAGACATCCCTTGCTCATGGATAGGAAGAACAAACATTGTGAAGATGGCCATTCTCCCAAAACTCTTATACAGATTCAATGCAATCCCAATAGAAATACCATCAACATACCTTATAGATCTAGAGAAATCACTCCTAAATTTCATCTGGAACCAGAAGAGACCTAGAATCGCAAAGGCAATTCTAAGCAGCAAAGGCAAAGCAGGAGGCATCACAATCCCTGACTTGAAATTATACTACAAAGCAACAGTAGTAAAATCAACATGGTATTGGAATCAAAACAGAGGCGAAGATCAATGGAATAGATTAGAAGATACAACCACAACTACAAACACACTCAACCACCTTATCTTTGATAAAGGAGCCAAGCAGGTTCACTGGAAGAACGACAGTCTCTTTAATAAATGGTGCTGGAAAAACTGGCTCTCCATTTGCTGAAAACTAAAGCTAGACCCATGTCTATCACCATGTACTAAATTAAAATCTAAATGGGTTAAAGATCTGAATATTAAAACAGAAGCACTAAATCTATTGGATGACAAATTGGGTAGAAACCTTGAAGACATAGGAGTAGGTAGAGAATTCATGAACAGGACTCAAATTGCACGGGAAATACTTCCCAGAATCAATAACTGGGATCACTTCTTATTAAAAAGTTTCTGCATGTCAAAAGAAATCTCCAGCATAGTGAAAAGAAAACCCACAAACTGGGAAAAGATTTTAGTGAACTCTCTCTCAGACAAGGGACTCTTGTCTAAAACATATAAAGAATTAAAAAAACTCAGACCTCCAAAATTCAAAGATCCAATCCAAAAATGGGCATCTGAGATGAATACGCAATTCTCAGATGAAGAAATGCAAATGGCAAATAAATATATGAAAACATGCTCATCATCATTGGTCATCAGAGAAATGCAAATTAAAACCACACTGAGATTCCATCTCACTCCTGAAAGAATGGCCAGGATCAAGAAAACCAACAACAACAAATGCTGGAGAGGATGTGGGGAAAAAGGAACTCTCCTGCACTGTTGGTGGGAGTGTAGACTGGTACAGCCTTTGTGGAGGTCTGTCTGGAGGTTTCTCAAAAAGTTGGGATTGGAAATCCCATTTATTCCAGCTATTCCACTTCTGGGCATATTCCCAGAAGAACTGAAAGCATCATACCACAGTGATTTATGTGCACCTATGTTTATAGCAGCACAATTTGTAATCACCAGATCTTGGAAACAACCCAAGTGTCCATCAACTGAGGAATGGATAAAAAAGTTGTGGTATTTCTATACAATGGAATATTATTCAGCTATAAAGAAGGATCACATTGAGATATTTATCAATAAATGGGCGCAGCTTGAGACCATACTCATAAGTGAAATAAATCAATCTCGCATGTATGAATACCGAAGTTTCCCTAATGTAAGTAATGATTCAAATATATGAAAATATGTGGCAATCATGATTCCCCATTATGTGGCCTTGAAGCCTTATAAAATTTTCACTTATTAATTAGAAAGGCTTTATTCCGGGCTTCTTGATATGGAAATATTTGAAGCTATAGTATATGAAGTTTTATCCAAATATCTCAAGGAAAAAGACAGACACTATGGTAACTATTATTCTTTAAAAAAATTATTTAGTTATTTCTTATGTTTATTTTAATTAAGGGAAAAATTTAAAAAATTAGGATATATAATAGTAACTCTTTTCGATTTCCTATTAACTTGTTTTGAAGTCCTGTAATGCTCCCACGATCTTGTTTTGACTGATTAGACTCTGTTCCATTCTGTGGGATAGTATCAGGTCCGAGGGTATAGGCAACTACTTTGAAGGCAGTAAGATTCACTAAGATGCCCATTCTGGTTTGACTATTGTCTCCTTTGGAAGTCCTGTAATGTTTACAATGTCTAAGTTTTATTGGTCTTGTTCTCTACTGTTTTGTCCAACTTTATAATATCTAATGAGATAGACAAATCTTTTTAAGGAAACAAGAGACAACGTTGATAACTATTGTTAATAACCGTATACTCTGTTCTACATCATGTGCTAAGTCTATCCTTGGTTTTCACAGACAGCTTTGTTCTGCCATATTTGACTTTATTCTCCCCCCCCAAAAGTAATAAGAACTAAGGAGTAATAAAATCTAAAATGTGTAAATTTTGTTGTAAAAAGAGAGGAAGGGGAAAAAAGAGCTCTAACGGATATAACAGCAAGTGTGTATAGGGATGTTGAATAGCTGACTATATTAATGTTTTTGGATCATTGAACACAGCTGTTTGTAGTCTCTCTGTTTGAATGTCTACTTTGTATTCTTTGATACTGTGATTTGAGCAACTATTTCCAAGATGATAATATGTAATCTATTAACAGGTGATTTCTTACTGTTATGCTTTTTTTTGTAGTTCTGTATTATATGTAACCTTACACTGCTTTGTTTTGTTTTGTGTTTTTCTCTTTTTCCTCTTAAATAAAAAAAAAAGCCATCGAAGACATCTAGAATATACAAACAACATCTAGAATATATAAACAGAAAAGATCAGACCCCTCAATATCAAAGACAATCCAAAAATGGACATTTGAGATGAATACACACTTCTCAAAGAAAGAAATCCTAATGGCAAATAAATATATGAAAACATGTTCAACAATACTAACTATTTGAGAGATGAAAATTAAAAATATGCTGAGATTCCATCTCATCTCAGAAAGAATGTCTATCATCAAGAAATCAACCAGTCAACCAGTGACAAATGTGAAAGGGATGTGGGGAAAAAGGAACTCTTCTCTATTGTTAGTGGACACATTAATTGGTATAACCAATATTGTAATTGTATAGAGATTACTCAAAAAACTGAGACTTGGGGCTGGGGATTTAGCTCAGTGGCAGAAGTTCCCACTTGGCAAGCGCAAGGTCAGGAGTTCAATCCCTGGTACCAAAAACAAAAACCCAAAACCTGAGACTTTCTGAACATGGTAGCACTGGGATATACATGCCTATAATCCCAGTATTCTAGGAGGTTGAAGAAGAAGGATTGTTGCAAATTTCAGACCAGCCTGGGCTACAAAGTGAGCTCAAGGTCAGCCTGAACTGCATAGTGAGACCCTGTCTCAAAAAGACAAAAAAAAGAAAACAAAGCATAATCTGGAACCAGATGTTCCATTTGACCCAGCTATTCTCTTTCTTGGTAACTTTCTGAAAGAGTTAAAAACATGATACCACAGCGATATATACATATCCATGTTTATAGTACCACAGTTTGTAATAGGTAAATCTTGGAAACAGCCCAAAGGCCCATGAATCAATGAATGGATAAATATGTGGATTTTTATATAATGGAGTACTATTTGGCCATAAAGAAGGATAGACTTGAGACATTTCTAGGTAAATGGATACACTTTGAGATCATACAAGTAAAATTAATTTGGACACACGTGTAAATATTGCATAGTTACTGGTGTAAGAAACTAAGTGTAAATCAGGACCAAAATGTACAACATATATTGTGAAATATAGAAGAAATTATTCAAATGAAAAGGGTAACTAGGAAGAGACAAAGGAAGGGGAAAAGAATAAAAAAGACAGAAAAGTGGAGACAAAGCTTTTGTAAATAGGAGTTTGCTAGAAGAAGAGGAGAATGAAAAAAAAGAATCAATATATAGCATGTACAGTTAGAAATTCCCTATTATGTATGCAATCATCAAGTATATCTAAAATGTACCTATAACCTTATTTGGGTTTTTTTGTTTTGTTTTTTGAGACAGGGTCTTGCTAGGCAGTTTGGGCTGGACTTGAGCTCACCTTGTAGCCCAGGCTGGTCTCAAACTTGCAATGATCCTCCTGCTTCAGACTCTTGGTGCTGGAATTATAGGCATTACCACATCTGGCTTATAACCTTAATTTTTTTAAAAAAAGCTGTCCATTCTTTGCTGTTGGTTTGGGGTGTTTTTTGAGATGGGGGTCTCACTATGTAGTTCAGTCTAGTCTTGAACTCCTGCCTCAGCCTCCTGAGTGCTGGGATGACAGACATGTGGCACCAGGCCTGGCCCATTCTTTTACCATATAAAAAGGTAACATTCTATTTCTTCTCCTTTTTTTATCCTGCTGGTTTTGTTAGCTACAATTGAGGACTAGGAACCATACTGTCTGAAATAAACTTCACTGAATATGTCCCATCTTTTCTTGAGCTTGCTGTCTGCAAATTCATTCAATGGGCAGGAAATGAACACTCGCTCAGGGACAAACTCCCAGGTACCTGAGCCACCAGGATCCCGATGACGATGCCCAGCTGGTGGAGGGTGCCAAAGGCGCCCCGCAGGCTGATGGGAGACACCTCTCCGATGTACATGGGCACGAACCCCGTGCAGAGCCCGCAGAAGATGCCCGTGATCAAGCGGCCAAGGATCAGCATCTCCACGGACTTGGCCATCTTGCAGAAGCCCATGAGGCAGCTGCTGACCACCACCAGCACGTTGACCATGAGCATGGAGTTGCGCCTGCAGATTCAGAGACGACTGAGCCCAAGCGCCCAGCAGGCCGCTCTCCCTTCCCTCCTGCCCCTCCCGGCCACAGCTGCCCTTCTTTTGTTTAACTTTTATTTCCCAGTTTCTACTATCAGAACACTTCAAATTGGTGTAGGCCTGAATCAAGGTTTTTTAATTATCTTTTTACACTTCTTTATGTATCAAACTCACCTAGAAAACTTAAGGTCTGGGCAACCCATTCTGGGCCCCACCTGTCTCTCAGGAGCTTCTCCTATTCCCTAAGAAATATTCCTACCTTTAAAAAAAAAAAAAAAAAAGTAAAATTTAAGATCTTTTTTTGGGTGGTGATAGAGATCAAACCCCAAACCTTACACATGCTAGCAGGCATCTTACCAACCGATCTAGCTGTTGCTTGAGATTTCTTCTGCAAGACCCAACTGTAGCCTAGGATTTTTTTCACACAAGGCCTCAGGCAGCCATGAACTCACTAAGCAGCCCAGCCTGCCTCAGCATCCTTGCTGCTGAGGTGACAGGCACCTACCAAGAAGCCCTACTATCCTGGGATTTTAGCAAGCACTTCAGGCCAGTGGTCCTCAGAGTGGCTCACAAGCTCACAGTAGTTAGTAATTGAAAGAGTTTTGTCCTAGAATAAACTACAGGATGTTACGGCGGTGGAAGGCTAAATGGGGATGCCTTTCCCAGGGCATGTGAAGAAAATTCCAATCAGCTCTCAGAGGTCATCAATGCCCACCCTAAGCACCACCCCTGCTCAAAGGTTACATATGTCCTATACCCCATATTCCAGTTAAAGGAGACAGCCCAGCAGCCATGGGTTGTGTGCTCCTTTCCACATCTTTACCTCGATAAATCTGTTTGTTTTGTACTTTTGCTTCTCTATTGAGCCAGAATACTCTACCAGTAATCTGCTAGAAATTACAATTCTCCCCTCCCCTAGCTTCACCGTTAGGTCTCACCCAAGGGCCAGGGCCCAGGAATCTGTGTTCTAAAAAGTCCTGAGTGGATCACAAGAGTTAAGAGGCATTATGTACAAATCCCACAATGAATGTAATCATTATACGCTGCCGACATGCACTCGTAAAAATTTAAAAAGGACAAGAAAAATCCTTAAAGCACTCCAGGTGGTCTGACACAACTTCAAGTCTGAGAACCACTGCTGAGACAGTACTTTGGGAAAAGCTGTCCCACCCCCAAGAGACATTTTTTGAGGTCAGACATGGTGGCACAGGCCTATAATCCAACTACTTTGCAGGCTGAGGTGGAAACATTTCAAGTTTGAAGTCAGATTGGGAAATTTAGTGACCCTGTCTCAAAAATAAAAAAAACAACACCAAAATGGAGATGTGCTAAATCCCCAGTCTCTATATATTTTCATTTTACTGCATTTCAAGCACTGTAGTTGCTTAGAGAGCATGAATATTGTACTGATTTTAAAACATTTCAGATAAAATGTTTCCTCCATCACAGAATTATATATACTCAAAAGGCAGTCAGCTTCAGCTCTCCTTCTCTAACTGTAGTGACGTCATTCACGATTAGCACTGACAACAGTCTGAAATAATAAACTGCTGCATTTGTGTGCTAAGTCCCAGAGGCAAAGCACTGCAACATGATAAACCAGCAATAAAAGATTACACTGAAGCTGGATGTGTGGCCCTCACCTGTAATCCCATCACTCAGGAAGCTGAGGCAGAGAGATTGCTCTGAGTTTGAGGTCAGCCTAGGCTACAAAGGGAAACCCTAATCTCAAAAAAAAAAAAAAGAACCCAGACCAAAAAGAAAAAGACTGTAAAGCTATATAGCACATGTCGGTGAAGTACCAGCATCACAGCTCTCCAGTGAGTCTCCCTGGCATGGACCATGGGGATTAGCAGGAGGTTTAGCAAAACCTGGTGCATGTGTGGGTCTCACATCAGATAGGGGAGCTTAACTGGCATAGGGAAAATCAGACACTAACTTAAAAGCTCTCCAGGGGTTACAAAATGTAGCACCAATGGAGAGCCACCAGGAAGAGAACTACTCCCCTTTCCTCATTTGCATCTTTCTCTGTATTTCTTTCTTTAGGACCCCTTCTCTACTAGGTCATTTTGGCAGTGAACCAAAGAAAGCCACATTAGGTTTGTTTGTTTCTGAGGCAGGGTCTCACTATGTAGTACAGGCTGGCCTCAAACTCATGTTGATCTTCTTGCCTCAGTTTCCCCAGTGCTAGGATAACAGGTGTGTACTAGCAGGACCAGCTTTTTTTGTGTGTTTGCTTTGTTTTTTGAGACAAGGCCTCAGTATGAAAGGCTGTCCTTGAATGCACTATGTAGCTCAGACTAGCCTTGAACTCAAAACCCTCCTGCCGAAGCCTCTCAAGTTAGTAGATTTAAAATTCTAATGACTTTAGAAGCTGGGAATGAGGTTAATAGTATAGCACTTGCCTAGCAATCCTGAAGCCTGAGTTTGATCACTAGAACAATAAAACAAAACAAAACAGACCAGGGATGCAGCTCAGCAGCACAGGGCCTGCCTGGCAAGCCCAAACCCTTGAATTTGATTTCTAATACCAAAAAAAGAAATAAAAAATTAGATGTTATAATGCTAAAAGAAGGCTGCTTTATTAATGTTAAATTTATCTATTTATTTATGGAAACTTTTTTTTTTATATTTGGGGTCAAATTCATAACCTCACACTTGCCAGGCAGGTGTTTAAGCCACTGAGCCAAATCCCCAGCTATTTATGTTTTGTCTTTTTGAGACAGATTCTCATTATGCAGCTTAGGCTGGCCTTGAGCTCCCCTTGTAGCCTAGGCTGGTCTCAAACTTGCAAGGATCCTCCTGCTTCAATCTCCCAAGTGCTGGGATTACATGCCTGGGTCACCATGCTGGATGTTAAATTTAAATGCATTTGCATGTGAGGAACATCTACCTTAAAACTAAACGGTTCCCTCTCTCATTACTGAACATTTCTGCCCTCTAAGACATTTTATTAAGCCATGTTGAGTGAGATTATTTCTCTTTAGGGGAAAAATTCAGTTATTTAGCTACTATCTACATTTATTCAAAACCAAGGTTTATAAAAATAGTTTCTATGTAAAACCGTGAAAAGACTTTCATGACCCCTCTCAATTTTTCAAGAAAAAGAGGTAAGTTTTGACCTTCTAAATGAAGTGTGTTTTGCCAGAAGTGGTGGTTCATGCCCGTAATCTCATCACTCAGGATGCTGAGGCAGGAGGATTGTTCCCAGTTTGAAAGCAACCTGGGCTACAAAGTGAGCTCAAGACCAGCCTGAACTGCATAATGAGACCCTGTCTCAAAGAGACAAAAAACAAACAAGCAAACAAACAAAAGAAACTCCAAAGGATTAGTGTTTCTGGGAACATTACTGCACCATCCTGAGCTATATTAAGGACTGTCACTGGACTGGAACCCAAGCTCAGTTGTGGACTCCATGCCATGAAAGTCCCATCCAGGGCCAGCTCGACTAGATCCCCTAGCTCACTCTGATGCCACCACCTCCCTGACCTAATTCTTTGTGTTTGTCCTCAGCGCCACCAGTACAGTCCACTTCCTTGGCCAGTTTGGGCCCCATACCTGCCAAAGCGGTTGACAAAGAGTCCAACGGAAAAGGAGCCAAGCATTCCGCCCACTGAGAATATAGCCACAGACAAGGACCAGAGAGTCGTGAGCAGCTCCTTGCTGGGAGGGTTATGCAACTTCTGGGACAAGGTGCTGTTGATAAATTCTGTAATGATCTGCAAAATAAAATGGTTGGTGAGAGGACAGACTGATACAGGTGGACAGGAACCAGAGAGCAGGGATCATTTCCTCCTGTCATGACTAGATGGGGATGGAAGAGAGCAGCACAGACTGGGGTAGCTCTGCGAGAAGTGCAGAAGGCCTGTCCTAGAAAGTGGACAGCAGGTGGCAGCACTGGTGTGCGTGCTCTGCCCGGCCCTCTGCCTCCTCACAGCGAGAGACCAGTGGGAAGCCCAGCCAGCGGGAGGGGCTCAGAGGAGCCAGCCCTGCTCGCGGTGAGGTGCAGCAAATGAGTGTTGTGGCTTCAGTAAAGTGACCCAACATGTTTACCACTGCCTGTCTTAGCCCAGACATTTGAGATACAAAGTTCTAAATTCTAAGTTTTAAAAGTTTCCCCCCAATGCTAGAGATTAAACCCAGCATCTCCTGTGTGCTAGGCAAATGCTCCTCCACCATGAAATGCCACCCCCGCCCATTAAATTCGCTTTCCTACTCCCCGTTCCCAGTTATAATCCTTAGCACCCGATACTCACCATCTCGGGAGCATTGATGACTCCAGTGTTGTAGCCAAACTGGAAAGAGCCAATTGCAGCGATAGAGATGGCAAAGACCAGAGACGGGGTCACCTGAGTTTAGAATGACAGGGGAGGAGAGAAGCAGCATTTACAACTTTTAAAATCTTTCTTTGTATTGAGGTCTGAACCCAGGGTCCTTGCACTGAGCCGCATCCCCAGGACTTTTTAACTTTTCCAGACAGTTTTGCCGAGTTGACCCTCGGGGGTTGAATTTGTGATTCTCCTGCCTTATCTCTCAGACTGTTGGGATTACAGGGGTACACCCCCCCCAGCTAGTCCTTGAAACTATTTCACTGACGTTTGTCTCCTGTTAGTTATGGACATATACCATATTCGAATTTGACCTAAGAGGGTTATGATGATGACAAGAATGTAATGAGATTTTTGAAAATTTTGTGGAAGTTGGAATGAGTCATTGTAGACCCAACAAGATCGCTGGACCCACAGACGACACTGCAGGAGCCTGAGCAGCGGTGCTGGCACTAGAGCAGGCTGCTCTTTTCCCTGCACTGCAGAACCTGCTGCACCCACAGTGAGCCTGGCCTCCCTGGGGTCCTCCTTTGCTCCCCACCCCCAGCAAGGGAGCCTCACCCACTTCCAGCACAGGAGGAGACACCTTGTGGGGAGGGAACCAAGTCAAGCAGTGGGCTCTCACCTTGCTGGGAGTCACCCACTTGGGAGGTCAAGCGGCTGCCCTCTGAGGTGGCCTCAGAGGGTGCCCTCCATGGTCCCCAGGATCCCCCACCCTTTCCCTGTTTGCTACTTTGCTCTTTCCTCTCAGGTCAGGTAGCTGCCCGCTGGGAGCTACTGTGTGAGTGACCTTCCCAGGGCCTCCCAGCCAGCTCAGGCCCAGCTCAGCCAAAGTCCCCAGGAGGACCCTGCACCCTGTCTGAGTGAAGGTTTCCCACTAGATCTTTTTCCTTTATTAGAAACCTCTTGTGTGTGGTATAATCCCAGCACTACTCTGGAGGCTGTGGCAGGAGGATCATTGTGAGTTAAGGCCAGTGTGAACTACATAGTGAGACCCTGTCTTTAAAAAAAAAAAAAAAACACCAAATCATACAACCTCTTCTTTCAGCACTTTCTATCTTTGAAAGCCTTTCCTTCTGTGCCATTTTAAAAAATCACTTCTCCTAACTTTCTTTAATTTCAAATGAATTTATCTTAGTAAATATGCCTTTCTCCCTACAAACACTGAACACACAATACACAATACTAATCAGTATGTCCCGCACTCACACTCACGACCATGACAAGAACAAGTGGAATTCACTTTCCTCAGGATTTGGGGACTTGCACAGGTCAGGGTGATTATTCCCACAGGACAGATGGCTGGACTGCGACCTGCATTCCCACACCAAGCCTGGGGCCTCAGTCAGGTCTCTCCAGTGGAACAGACCCCTGTGGCCCCTGAGCCTGCACCAGCCCCATCCGAGCATCCTGCTGTTCCACAAAATAACCCTGAGGAGCGGACTCCTCACTGACTTTCTTCTGAGGAGAAAGGGAAGGAAACTTGGATGATTCCTGTCAGATCAGACACTGAGAGACCCACAGCAGCATCACAGGCTGGAGGAGGTCGCCTGGTGGCCTGGAGTACACAGTAGTAAAGGTTTCCTTCTGAGTGTCCCCCAAGCACCAGCGAAGACCAGTGACCACATTGTTCTTATCTTGTATGACTTCAAGGTCCTAGTCCTTTGCAAGAGCTAGGCATGGGATGTGAGAGCCACTTCTGTCAATCAACAAAACCTCCTTCCTTTTAGGAAAGCAGCAACCAAACCACCTATTAGTTTCAGAGACAAAATGCTACCAGAAAAGCCTATAGGGAGGGCAGATTCATTACTTTTTGCTCTGGCATCTACTCAGTTGATCTACAATCACTTGGGAACAGATCTACTGATAAATAAGAAGATTGGGTGATGGTATTACCAAATTTAGGGTCACTTAAAGAAGCATAGCTAGAAAGAATTTGTAATCACCTGGGTTTTTTTTTTTTGAACATTCATATGTCATATTTATGTTTTATTTTAAAGAGATTAGAAGAAAACAACTGCATTTTGGTCACAGGCTAGGCATAGTCTTGAAGGAGAGGGAAGGACAGTCTGGTAGAAGACAACTGTGGGGAGGATTTGGCCAGTTTCTAGCCCTGCTCGCCCTCTGCTTTGCATAATCTTACCTGGGGTGAAAGAAACCCAAATCCCTAGGCCAGGCCTTCTCTGTGGAGGTTACTGGTGGGTGGGTGCACCCCTAATTCTTCAATATTGACTTCACCCCTGACACCCCTCTGAACCTGGACACTCAGCCTCCAGTCTCAGCTCACAGCTTCCTGGGATGGATCGAGCACCATGTTCCACTGTGCTGCTGCTTGCTGGGCATGTATCACTGTGTATCTATCAAGGTGTTCTCCAAGAAGCTGAGATCTCTCATGAAAAGGATAAACAAGCTCTGACCCTCACAAAATTGGGTATTTTCCTTCAAGAAAAATTTTAAAAAGGGACAAAGGCAACTGAGTCTCACAAAAATAGCAATGTTTATTAATATTCTAATAGTTGTAGATGGTGAGTTTCTTGAAAGAAAAGTGGGAGATAAATAGCTGAGCAAGACGAACAGCAAAGAAAGGAGAACAAGGTGGCAGGAGGAGGATGAAGGATAACCACGGCAAGGTGAGAAGAGCAGCTCAGGCGGGGCGTGAGGGTGAGCCAAGCAGGGGAATCTGGCCTGGTCAAACAGCTTCCTACAGGGGAGAGAACAGCAGGGTCTAAGGAAGGAGAGCCCTCAGTGGCCACGCTGCTGATACTCTGTGACCTGCAGGCCTCAAGCTCTTAGCCGGGCTGAAGCAGGCTGGAGCAGGGCTGTGAAGGAGAACAGCTCGCGGTGGAGCCAGAAGACGTGAATCTTCCTTCAGGTTTTGGTTGGGAGCCCAGAATCCAAACTGACAGCAGCAGATCTGGACAAACCAGAACCTTTTTGGATACAATTCTCACTGTGTGGTCCAGCTTGCTATGCAGCCAAGGCTGGCCTTGAACTCAAGATCTCCTGATTCAGCTGAGATTAAAGGCCTATACCACCACACCCAGCAAGCCAAGTCTTCAATGTCTGAAATCTGTAACAAACAGAAAACTTTCAACAAGGCATGGTAGTGACCACCTGTGATCCCAGCTCTCAGGAGGCGGATGCAGGAGGATTGCTGTGAGTTTAAAGACAGCCTAAAGGACTGATTGAAACTCTACCTCAAAAACAAAACATTTCTTTCTTGCTAAGAAAACAAATGAGGAATGATTTGGGGATGACAACGCACAATGTATGTACCATTGTTGTTTCCTGATTAACGTGTTTTGATATTTTGTTGTAATTTTTTTCTTCTTCTTCTTCTTCTTTCTTTTCTTTCTTTTTATCCTTGAAAAAAAACGGATTTGGAAGAAAAAAGGAAAAAGGGGGAAAATGAAAAATAAGAAAAAAAGAAATGATCCAGGCATGATGGCACACATCAATAACCCCAGAAATGAGTTCAGTTCAAGGCAAGTCTGAAGTACATGGTGAGACCCTAACACAAAAAAATAAAAAGAAAGATGAAAGGGTTAGAGCTGAGCCTCACTTTTCTGGTTATCGTAGTCTGAGCAGGTTATCTTTAGAAATGTTAAACTGGTTTAAACTGGGCATAGTGGCTCACACCTGTAATTCCAGCAGTTGGGAGGTTGAGGCAGGATTATGAATTGGAGTTCAGCCTGGGATACATAGTAAGACCTCATCTAAAAAGTTAAAAGGAGAAAACTTCAGCTGCAGTGAAGGAGAGTTGTTAGGATGAGCACCCACTGCACTGTGAGCTGTGCGAGTACGCTTACAAAGGCTCCCACACATGGGCTGTAAGAAGCTCCAACACTCAGCAGTCAGCTCAGGGCCAGCCCCGGCCCGCAGCACAGGTCCACAGTGGACAACATTCACACTGGGCAACCACGGACCCTCTGCTCAGGAGGTGCACAGGGTCTGCGGCCTTCCATGGGCTCAGTAGAGTGCCCCAGCAGATTCCAAGTCAGGGCGCTGGAGCTAAGCAGACACAGTAAGCATGCAGTGAGGTCAGCGAGGTTAGACGCCCCACAGGCCCTGGCCTGGCCTGGCCTGGCCTGTATACTCTGAGTCCTTGTGAGATCTTCTTTCTTCATTGGAAACTAAATAGGAGGAGGTGGGGTGGGTGCACTTTAACAGGGAAAGCTTTAATCAGTTCTGTCCAGAGGAAGGGACTGCAGGGGACTAAAGATTGAGACCTTCTAGTGTCAAAGGTGAGTGCGCTCACAAGTCTGCACTATGGGATATTCGAACCTGCTACCATGTGGGGAGAATGTTTGCCAGGTCAGATAATACCAAAATCAAAGCGTTACAAGGATAGGCATCATGGTGCACATCTGTAATCCCAGCACTGGGGAGGCTGAGGCAGGATGATCAATGCAAGTTCAAGGTCAGCCTGGACTACACTTTGAGTTCAAGGTCAGCTTGAACTACACACCGAGAAACTACACACACAGAAGCACTAGATTAGCTCTCTGCCGTGGTGTCCCCACAACTACACACTGTCCAGCGTGAGTGTAGGAAGGACACCGGCAGTGTGGGCCGTGACCCCGCTCTGGTACTCACCCTGTGTCTCCTCTCCACATTATTTCTTTCCATCTTATCCCCGTCTCTCCCAGACACTGAAGCAGACTCTACCGCCACTTCCTCTTCAAGGCAGTTTCCTGTAGGGTGGTCAGGGGCATGTCATTTAGTCACTCTGTTTTTCTTTTTCTGTGTGTGCGTGGATGTGATACTAGAGATTGAACCCACGGCCTTCATGTAGGATTATATCCCTGGTCGTATTTTCATTTTTTTGATTTTTGAGACAGAGTCTACCAAAGTCACTAAATTGCCCAGAGTGCTGGCTGGTCCGATGGCAGTGGGTTATCAGAACTTATTAACATTAGTGTCACTAAAGTTGGTATACCACCCCCCCACTGCTAAATTTGACTGGCTTTAAAATAAATAAATAAATAAATAAATAAATAAATAAATAAATAAATTGCCCAGAGTGGGCTTTAACTTGGGATCTTCCTGCCTTAGCAGCCCACAGTGCTGGGAGCACTCCAACAAATACTCCTGAAGGGTGAAATCCCATACAATTTTGTGGTATCTTAGATGAATTCAATTCTGGGGCCATCAGTACGTACAGCTCTTTCCCCTGGTCACAAGCTAAGGGGAAGAATGTTAATCAGGTTAAGGCTTCTGGGGAGAAAAAGGGAAAGACAAGCTGAGTATGGTGAAGCAGCACCTCTGTCCTCCTCTGCTCAAATCCTTGCTTTCCATCCACTAGGACAACTTCTCCGTCTGCTGTCAAAAAAATCTGTCATCTGGGTCTCAGCGCAAAGTGACCCTCCAGTCTCAGCCTCCGGAGTGCTGGGCTCGCAGGCGTTTCCCACCGCACGCAGCCCATTTTCCCGCATGGGACACCGCTACTTCCCGCGGCCTCACAGCGGCCTTACGGCCTCACGCTGCGGGCGGGGACGACGCTCCTGACCCGGGCGGTGCAGCCGCTCCCCCGCCTGTGCCCCTCGGCCGGCCTGCGCGGCCGACGCCCCGAGACAGCGCCCCGCCAGGGAGGCCGAGGCGGGACGGCCCGGCGTCTGGCGCCGCCTGCTCGCCCGCGACCCCCTCGCTCCGCCGGCCGCACCGCTCTCTCCGCCGGTCGCGTTCGGGAACGAACCCACCCAGGCCGGCTGCGGGCCGGGACTCGGCGCTCCGGGAGGCCGAGGCGGGAGGTTCCCGGGCGCAAGCCCAGCCCAGGCACGTCAGCGAAGTGCGCTACACCCTGTCTCAAAAATTAAGTAGAAAATAATATTTTAAAAGGGCTGTAAGCCTAGCTCAACGCACAGGTCCTGGGCACCAAAAACAAAAGCAAAACCAAAACAGCGCCGCTCGCCGGGTCCCTTTCCCATGTGGTTGTAAACGTGCGCGCTCAGGAGGCTGAGGCAGGAGGAGTGGTGCGAGCTCCAGGCCAGCCCGGCGACGCCGCGGGAACCCGACCCCAACCCGCCCCGCTAACGCGAAGGCGGCTCGGACCGCGGATCATGGACCACGCACCACGCACCTCACCCGCGGCAGCCGCCCGCGCTCCCGGCTCTGCCCGCCCTGGAGCGAGCTCGGCCTAAGGACCAGTGAGGCTGTTGGAAACCGTTAGGGTCAAAGGGCACAAGGACCCCGCCCCGCCCACCGGCAGTGGCCCCGCCCACAAAACAAAGTCCCGCCCACCGACACAAGGCCCCACCCATAGAGTCTCAGACCCCTCTGTTCCCCGGGCTTCAGGCACCACAGACCTAGAGGAAGGTCTGGCTTGGGGTCCCTGGCTGCCCTGTGATTGCCTGACTGGCCCTGCAGATCGCGTCTGTACCGGGGAAGCCCAGCAGGGTAGCGCTGTCCACAACCCTCCTGTCTAGGAGTGTCTGAAGGGCGCCACTGTGGAGAGGGGAGGCTGTAGTTCTTAGCCTGAGAAGCAGCTGTCAGGTAGTTTTAAAAGTTACGTGCACTGCACTGATGAGAAAAAAATATCATGAGACGACAGTCAGTGCAAGGTGTGCCTGAGAGTGTTGGGAGGGAACATCAAGCTAAATCCATGGGCCACAGCAGTGCTCATCCACCCTATAGAGGAGGAGGGGAAGAGAGGTGGAGGGCAGAGGCAGCAGTGGCTGTTTCGGTGGAAGCAACACTGGCTGGCAACATTCTATCTATCTATCTATACTTTTTTTGGTACCAGCGATGGAACTCACGACGTGGTGCTTGCCAGGCAGAGGCTTATGCCGCTGAGCTAAATCCCTGGCCCAACACTTCAGTTTAATTAAATATACATTGCAGAGCATGGTGGTGTACATCTGCAATCCCAGCACTCATTAGGCTGAGGCAGAAGGATTCCCAAGAATTCAAGACCAGCCTGGGTTACTTAGTGATTCAAGACCAGCTTGAACTACATAGTGAGACCCTGTCTAAAAAAAAATTACGCATAACATGCATCTTATAACCTCTACATTAGGCACTGGCAGACACTACGGAGACCTGAGAGATTTTTCTGCCCTCAGGAGTTCACAGTCTAAGAGGCAGCGGGAAGCAGAGGTCATGGCATGGGAACTGTGCTTGACACGAGGCTGACAGGTAAACCAGAGTACAGCGCTGAGCTGTGAAGACAGCTGGGGCAGGAGTCTGCTTCCAGACAGTTTCCGAGTCAGGAGGGGCTTAACATCCTCCTGGGACTCCCACGGGTAGAGTGAGGGGTCACCTCCCTCAGTCTTCCTGGAGGTGGGACCTTCAGGGATAGATCCACGGTAGTCCGGTGTCCAGGGTGTTGTCTCCCAAGCAGGGACTGAACCTGTGAAGTATCTCACACAGGCTGGCACACAGAGGAGTGCAGTCCTTTCAGGGAGGCCAGTGTACTCATCTATTTCTGTAGTCCAAGCGCTCTGGGAGGCTGAGGCAGGAGGATCACAAAGGCAAGTCCAGATTGGGCAGTTTAGTGAGACTGTCCAAAGGAAGGAAGGAAAGAAGGAAGAAAGGAAGGAGAGACAGGGACAGAGAAAGGGAGAAAGCAACAGAGCAAGCAAGCAAGAGAGAAAGATGGAAAGAGAGTGAAAGAGGCTTTGTGTGGTGGTGGCACACATCTGAAATTCTAGCCCTCAGAAGCCTGAGATAAGAGAACCACTGCAAATTTGGGGCCAGTCTGGGCTACACAGTGAATTCAAACCCAGCCTGAAGTACATAGTGAAACCCTGTCTCAATAAGTAAACAATCTGGGATGCAGTTCAGTGAGAAGTCCCCATAGTGTAACAAAACAAAATTAACCAATGAAACAACAACAATGAAGGCATGGAAAATGAATACAGAGTTACAGCATTTGTTAAAACTAGCTGCAGGGACTTTAGCTCAGTGACAGAGCAATCGCCTAGCATGGGCCTTTGTTTCTATCCCCAGCATAGGGGGAAAAATCTGGGTCACTGAATGGGACAAATTGGCAGGCTACAAGCTGCAGTCCAGGTTTAAGTTTAATATAATAGTCCACTAGGAAAAAGATGGACCAAAATGTTAACTAATAGTTCTGTAAAAGTATAAAGGAACTAAGAAATCTACTAATGTAATGTCTTTTTGGATGGGGAGTGAAAGGAAGTTGAACACAAGACCTTAACACTGAACTTAATTTTTATTTTGAGACAAAGCCTCACTAAATCACTAAGGTTTCCAAGCTGGGATCAAACTCAGCCATTTTCCTGCCTCAGCCTCCCAGAATGCTGGAAATAACAGTATGTGTCACGTAAGTGGCAAACTTAATTTTTAACTACGTGTTCATTTTATTTATTTACTTATGTATTTTTTGAGACAGGATCTCACTCTGTGTAGTTCAGGCTAATCTTAAGCTCACTTTGTAGCCCAGACTGGCCTTGAACTTGCAGCAGTCTTCCTGCCTCAGCCTCACGGGATTACAGCATGCACCAGGCTATTTGTTCATTTTAGAAAGTGTTTCTTCTGTGTCTTTCTTCCTTCTTAAATGTTCATTGATTGCACTAAGTTTAATTAGTAGTAAGTGAAGTCCCAGTGGCAAAATAACTTCTCCAAGACTGTGCAGCAATTCCTAAGCAGGCTGGCCTCCAAACAGTGCTTCTTCCCTGCTGCTAACACCTCAGTGTCCTCACCCTGTCACACTGGAAGAGTGTTCAACCAGGAAGTAAAGGGCAACATACTATAGATTCTTGAGTTAAATTTATTTAATTTTTAAATTATGAGTGGTTGGGGCTATTTGTTTGTTTTTTGAGACAGGCTTTTGCTATGTGAGTCACGTTCAGCCTGGCCTTGATCTCACTTTGTAGCCCAGACTGGGCTGGAATTCACAGCGATCCTCCGCCTCACACTCTGGAGTGCTTGGATTATAGGCATGGGCCACTCTACCTAGTCACATTTCTATACAAAACAATTTCCTTTTTTCTGAAACCAACTATGACAAATATATCCCTCAGTGCACAGTAAGCACAGTGTCCCTTTCATCTTCTACCAGCCCCTCCCTACCCAGCCCTTCCTTTTTACTCCATAAATTCCCAATGCAGGATAACCTGTTGCTTTCCTCTCTGGTGTCTGGCATCCTTGTAGCTATTTCTCAGTCTCCCAGAGACAAAAGAAACTTGTCATTACCATTGTTTCTGCAGGACAGGCAGCCGGGTCCAACAGGCTGAGGATTTTCTAAGGCCCAATGTGCTTCTTGACTTAGTATCTTAAATTCTCACCAACCAAGTAATTTGCCCTGAGTTAGCAGAATAGCTTGCTTAGCATGGGAAAGCTCTTGGGCTTGATCCCCAGTGTCACAGTAACAATAATCATCACTTTACATGCATGTTGAGAGCCTTGGATCTGTGATTAGTAACAACAGCAGTGCTGGGAGTGGTGATACACATCTGTGATCCTGGCACTTGAGAGATTGAGCCAGAGGATTGCCGTGAGTTTGAAGCCAGCCTGGGCTACATAGTGAGACAGTATCCCAACCCCCCCAACAAACAAACTCTCCCACAACAATAACAACAGGCATTTATTTCTTCTTTAGACTTGGTACTGTCAGCAAACCACACCCCTCATACTACTACTTTGGCTGATTTGGTATAATCTAAGGGAAGTGACAGTGCTACAAGGGAATGAATTACTGACCTAAAAGAACATTTGTATGCTTATTTAACATTACTAGCAACAGAATGCATCCTTTCTTAAAGACTTCTTAAAATTCTGGAAAATGTTAACATCATTCCTCTTTTGGTATCTTTACCATGCTTGGATTTTATAGACTAGTAGTCATCTTTCCGTGGCATTTTTCTTCTTGCAAATAACAAATCTGCTCCTCTTTTTGCTTCTCAATTACTCGAATGACTAAGTGTAGTATAAGCAGTACGAGCACTTTGGTTCGCACTTTTATAAGTCATCTGGTCTAGAAGATCCTAGAAAACAACAAAAGATAGGATTTCTTTAAATAAATAGAAAATATATTTGGCAGAATCTTGACCAATAACCCTTCCAATCCTAGGGCGTAGTCACAATACTAAGGAAACATTTTTTGAACTCTCCCTCCCAGTTCAGAGCACAGTGCTTATAGACATTATTGCTGAAATCTGATATAAGAAAAACTGGACAGAAAGTACACGCACACTGCAAAGCAAATGATTCCACGATTATCATCTGTAAGTGAGTTTCCTCTGCTCTCAAATTCTGAGTTCCTCCTTGACTATAAACTCAGACTCTAGGTACAACATGTTATTTGTCATTCGCTAGACGTAGAAGCCTTCTTTTTAGTAATCTTGTCTATCTATTCCCTTTTTCTAAATGGTGGCTGGAGGGGCAAACTGCTTTCAATTTTTAAAGGCCTCTGCATGTTAAAGAGAAAGGCAGCATTTTCTCAGTGGGTGGCTGGTTTAGGAAACAGGTCTACTTTTGAATTCACAGATGAATTAAGCCTATGGTGAGTGTGAAGCAGTTTTTCAGTGTCCTAAAACAGACAGCTGTTTTATTGTGGGGGAGAAGTACTGGGATTGAGGTACTGGGAGAGATACTGGGCTCAAACTCTGAGTCCTCCTGTCTCAGCCTCCCACCCTCCTGAGATAACAGGTGTGGACCTTAGATCTATAGTCACAAAACATATCTTAAACATATTCTAAAAGTTTAGCATCTTCAGGATTTGCCCAAATTTACTCTCAGCCTTTCCCTAAGGACTAAACTCATTCCTTTGGTACAAGATGACTTGGGCAGCTCCCCTTGAACACAGCACAATTGCTTCAGCATTAGTTAAACTGAACCCTGTCTCCATGTACTGATACGTACAGAGCAGGCTATGCTGTTCCCCTCTCCCCTTAACTGGCTCTAAGCAGTGCCCGTAGGGCTAGCTTAGGTACTGATATGTCATCTTTGAAGCAAGCTAACAGTTTCCTGTTTCCTTGCACTGTGTTCCCTATACATGGTTGAACATAGCACGATGGCAGAACCACATACCTTCAGTAATGTTAACTGGGTCCAAACCACAGAAGGTTATGACTTCTCAAGGCACAAAAGTTCATGTATCAGAAACTAAAGCAACAGCCTCCTAAATCATTCAAATGCTATCTCAATCTGAGTTATGCAGATTGGTCTTTTTGCATAGCTTTCTTCCTATATATTGCAGAGATGCTCACTCTCTACCTGGCCAGCTCAGCTCACATTGCTCACATAATTCCCACCGAACTCACTATCACTCATCCTTGAATCACTCCCTTCTCATGAGAGAATAAATTCTTGTGAGGCTTTGGATCAGGGCCTTTGTTCCATGTATCCTCACCTGGACTGAACTCAGGACCCTTTGGCTTTCCCGTAGCTTTGAATATGTCTCAGGGTCTTTACTCTCACCATGGGTTACACTGGAGGTGGTAGATTGTAATTAACTCCCAGAATTCTAATAATGTTATGGGAGTACACATAAAATTTCTCAAGCTGTGAGGCAGACAAGAAAAGGAACTACAATATTTAAGGAACTACAATATAAATTTTGGAATTATAATACTTTATTTTTATTTATGTATTTTCTTTTTTGACTTTTGAGATAGTTCTCCTTAAATTGTCCTCGGTGGTTGTTGGACATATGTTATAAAGGTCTGGCTTAGTTCAGTTCAGCAGCTGACCATCTACCTTGTGTCCCACACTGCCCGGCACTGGACATACCATACTAAAATGCGGTTCTTTCCCAGGAAAGCCTCTGTATGTGGATAATGCTCTTCCTCCACACAGCTCTATACAGTTCTACATAGTTCCCTTCACCTTCTTCCACTCTCCAGTTGTTATGCATATGGTCTCTTTAGAAAGCTATCTGCTTGGAGATCATGACTACTGTTAATTCAGCTTTTTAATAATAAAGCCTCAGTTGTTCATTCTTCTCTATAGAGAGTTAAATTCACATCTTTCCTTTTCTGCTGGTATTAGAAAGCGGGGAATCTGAGGCCAGAGGTTCCTGAGCCTAAGTGTGTATACTCCAGTGTACTACTTGTGTTTTTTATTTTGAGACAGGGTCTTATTGTGTAGCCCAGGCTGGTCTTCAATTCATAGCAATTTGTCCTGGCTCAGCCTCCTGACTTAAGTGTGTGTATTTCCAAGGGCTAGCGCACAAGCAGATCCTCAGAGTAAACAGGAAATCATTATCCCTCATAAGAAATGAGCTGCTGCGTGGGGTACAAAGGTGCCATGAATTTCCTTCATTTCTCTTCAGTTCCTTCTACACTCACTTCCAAGTTTCAACCAATTTCGTTCTTCCCTGCAATGACAGAGTCCGCCTGTCTCTCCCTGGTCCTACCCTGACTTCATCCCTGAGAGTGGCCCTTTAGTGAACAACATTGGCCTGGCTTTACATCCCATCCCAGTTGTTCTTTCCTTTAGAGCAGTTTCTTCCCCTTTCAACTTCATGATACCTACTGCATATTTGGAACCTTATTTACTCTTTTACATTTGTGTAATAGGAAGATAATATGACGTTTACACATTGAGTCTGATTTATTTCACTTAACAGTATAGTCTCAAGTTGCATCCATTTACCTATAAAAGTCTCCAGTTTACCTTTTATATAGCTGAGTAGTACTCCATTTAGAATAGTATTTTTATTATTTATTTATTTACAGATTTATTTACTTTTTGAGAAAGGATCTCACCATGTAATTCAGGCTGGCCTTGAGCTCATTATGTGGCCCAGGCAGAAGTGTAAGCTCATTATGTGGCCCAGGCCCACAGCGATCTTCCTGCTCAGCCTCCTGAATGCTGGGATTACAGATGTGTGCCACCATTCACAACTTTTTTATTTCTTTTTTCACTTGGAGGACTCCAGGAAGATGGCAGAACAGTAAGCAGCAGAGTAAACAAATTCTCTGAGAGAAACAGTCCAGAGATTGGAACATAGCATTATGGGGAAGACAAGAAGGAAGGAAATGGGTCCCCTTGACCCAGGAAGAAACTAAAGTGAGAATTGAAGCCCACAGAGAGAATTAAAAAAAGAAAAACTTAAACAGAAGAAGGCAGTAGCTGGTGGTGCTTTCACCTGGAGCTAGAACCATCATGCAAGAAAAGCTATTGAAACCTGGGGATGCACGGTCACAGTGAAGGCCATGGCTGGCAAGCCTGAAGGTCTCTGTGGGGAGATGCGGTGCAGAAGGGAGCAGTGGGCTGGAGAACTTCACTGGCTGGCAGTGAGTGTTTGGAACTCAGTCCTCCCCCAGGAATGGGCAATTAGCTGGGGGAGTCAGGCAGGACAAACCTAGAGCCAGAACTGCAGCCAGCTTCATTCAGCCACTCCTAGCTCGGAGCAGACTGGTGAAAATTGCTGGGACTGAGTCCCACCCCCGTACACATTCCAACAGCCATCGCTGAGGTTTCCCTAAAGCTATCCCCAACCAGCTCTGCCCCTGTGTGTATTATATTTGGTGAAGGCTCTTTGCTGTTAACTAGCTTGGAAGAGAGGCAGCAGCCTGCCCCACCCCAGCTTGCACTCCAATAGCCACCAGTGAGCCAAAGCAGGCTGGAAAAAGCAGCAAACAGCCCTACACCAGCGCACCCAATGTCACCATCAGATATCCCTAGCCAGCACACTTCGGAGAAATTACAGCCAACACAGGAAGTGCTGGGGACCCCACTACCCACTTGTCCAGAGGAAACCAGGAACAGGACAAGAGGAAGAAGCAAAAGGCAGTCTCTGGCCTCCAACCCAAGCAGTACTGGTCCAGGAGAGGTAAACACGGAAGAGATCAGGAGTCTCACACCTGAAGTTTCTGAAGCGGCAGTAACTGAAATAAAGAAACAACTTCAAGAGGCTAAAAAAGCATTTCGAACAGAAATACTATCTCAGGTAAAAGAAGAAATGAGAAAGTTAATAAAGGAATTGCTAAGCACCTCTAAAGAAGAATAGAGGAGTATAAGAAAATTAGGGAAACCTTCAAAGAAGAATATAAAAAAGATGTAGAATACATGAAATAGATTCAATGAGATTACCAGGAAATTAAAAATTCCATTGAAAGCTGGCAAAACTGCTTGAAAGAAACCAAAGATAGACTAACAAACCTTGAAGACAGGTTTGCAGCTTGAGATTATGAAAGGAAAGATCTCTTTAAAATAACACAGAACCAGGAAGTAACAATACAAAGGCTACAAAATGACACAAAGAAGTATAATTTAAGAATAAAGAAAGTGAGTAAAAAAGCAGGGGTAAACACAAATGAAATACAAAGACTATTTACAGAAATTAAAGAAAACTTCCCAAGCATAGGAAAAGGAGATGATATTCAGATAAGTGAGGCATACAGAACTCCAGCCAGCTATACATAAATCTACACCCAGACATAATAATCAAGATCCCAGAAATTCAACACAAGATAAATAAATCTACACCCAGACATAATAATCAAGATCCCAGAAATTCAACACAAGAACAGAATATTGGGGCTGGGGATTTAGCTCAGTGGCATAAGCACCTGCCTTGTAAGCAGGCGGTCATGAGTTCAATCCCCGGTACCGATAAAAAAGAAAAAGAACAGAATATTAAAAGCTGTCAAAAAAGCAGATCACCTATAAAGGAAACCCATCATGACAGACTTCTTGACATAGACCATCAAATCAAGAAGAGATTGGAGTGAAGTATTCCAAGTCCTGAAAGAAAATAACCTCCAACCCAGGTTGATGTACCCTGCAAAACTATCTTTCAAAATTAATGGAGAAACAAGATACTTCCATGACAAAGAACAACTGAAGGAATTCATGACCACCAAACCAACCCTATAAAAAATACTGAAGGACATTTGAGAGAGAGAGAGAGAGAGGGAAAAGACCATGGTTTCAGAAACAGTGGCAGAGGGGGCTTGTCCTGGCCTGGGAGTGAGTCAACATAGGTGCTAGAGGGGGAGTGGGGATGAGAAGAGACAAGAGATGTGAAGAATGAAAACAAGATAGGATTCTGATCAAGTCTTATTTATTCAAAGAAAAAGTAACAAATATATAGGATATTGGGGGAAGAGGGAGTTGGGTTCCGAGAGGTCAGCAGGTAACTTAACAACAACTTGCGAGCTCATAAGGCGGGCTGATTAACATAATCCCTGAAAGGGCCAAACAGGCTAGGCAAGGAGCTGCTTAACTACCAAACTTAAGTCCTAGAGGGGGTTAAGGTGGCTGCTGCCTGCATATGTAAGATGGCAGCCAATTACAGGGTTTCCCACAGGGGCTCACTGAACAGGGCAGACAGTGGAATGAAGGGATAAAGTAGACAACCAATTGCAGGAAAACAGCTTGGCAGAGATGAAGCAGGGAAGGTTGGCCATAATCACTAAAATAGATGGCCTCAATTTACCAGTAAAAAGAAGCACAGGCAGAGTGGATCAGGAGACAGGGTTCATCAATACGCTTTAGGCTGGGGATTTAGCTTAGCAGCATAAGCGCCTGCCTTGCAAGCAGGCAGTTGTAAGTTCGATCCCTGGTACCAAAAAAGACAAAAACAAACAAAAAAATACGCTTTATATAAAAAATACATTTAATCCGAAATGGGTTTACAGACTGAAAGTCAAAGATGAGAAAATAATGTTCTATGTGACAGGGAACCAGAAAAAAGTAGGGTAGCTTGCCTATCAGCTGCAGATTGGTTAAAAACCATGACACTTTTATACAATGGAAACCTACTTAGCTACAAAGAAAGATAATCTTGAGGCTCTTATAGGTAAATGGATACAACTTGAGATCATACATAGGGATAAAAAGATTCAGAGTCACTTAGGTGAATAGTGGGTTGCCTCTCTAATCTAAAAACTAAAGGAGTTAGTGGGATCCAAAATGAACAATACATCCTGTGGAAGTGAAAGGTGAGGAATTGTCTAAAAAGGAAAGGCAGTGGCCACTGTTAATCTATTATCAAGATTTGAAACCCATATTGTTTTCATTGTTCTGTTTAGTTTGGTTTTATTCTGTTTCCATTTGTCTACTTGTATTAGATTTGATGGCATGGACAGCTATTCCAAAGATAGCAGGATATACTATGGCAACCATTTTTGATTTCCTAATAGATTGATTTGAAGCCCTGTATTGCTTTCATTGTTTTGTTTTGGTGGATTTTATTCTATTCTGTTTTGTTTGATAGTATCAAGTCTGACGGTATAGGCAACTACTTTGAAGACAATAAGATGCACTATGATACCCATTGTGGTTGTACTATTATCTTCATTTGAAGTCCTATAATATCTTCATTGTTCTGTTTTTATTGGTTTTGTTTTGTACTGTTTTGTCCAATTTTGTTATGCTTGATGATATAGGTAATTCTTTTGAAGATAACAACAATCATTATCGTAGACATTATTAATCTCCTTGTATTTTGTTTTTAAGTCATGTACCATGTTTATCCTTTTGTTTTGATTGACTCTATTTTGTCTCATTTAGTTTTATTCTCTTCAAAATAAAAAAAAGTTTAGTCTTTTTTCACTTGACTTTTTGGAAGCAGGTTTCAAGCATTTCATGTCTCTCTAGTATGTATTGCCTGAAAAAGTTCATAAAAATAATAATTCCATAAGAATTTTTATACCACCATGTCAGTCTTTTTGGTGTTTGTTGTTGTTGTTGTTATTGTCTTTTGTATTTTTGTTCCGGGAATCAAACTCAGGACCTTGTGATTGCCAGGCAAGCACTTGTACCCCTGAGCTATATCCTCAGCCCACCATCTCAGTATTGACATTTCACCAACTGTCTCATAATTTTTTTCCAGTTGCTTTGTCCTAATCCAAATCCACCAAATGGTCCCACATTTTGTGTATGATGGACACATTTCTTGGTTCATATAAATTGCAACATGTCTTTTAAACCTCTTTTCTTGTGTGGGTTTCTCATGTATTATGTACTTACCTAAAAGCATTGTGTGTGTGAAATCACACAATCCCTCCACAACGCTATGGGAGCAGTGGGCAGATATGAGCCTATAGATTAAAGTAGCTACTGTCATTATTCTTACTTGGCTGAAGAGGAAACAAATTACAAAGCAGTAATCTACCTAAATTCTCACAGTTAATAAGATCAAAGCTGAAATTTGAGCCCTTGACCCTCATCCCCTATATTGTTTCATGTTATACACTGGTCTTTAAAATTTTTTCCCAATTTTTTAATTAGATATATACCTGCAACCCCAGCACTTGGGAAGCTGAGGCAAAAGGACACAGTGAATTTGAGACCAGCCTGGACTATATAGCAAGAGCCTTTCTCACAATATAGAACAATCAAAAGTATTTCCAAAATGTGGTTTCAGGAATTTAGGTCTTTTTTTTTTTTTTTTTGGTATCGGGGATTGAACTCATGACCATGTGCTTGCAAGGCAAGCACTTATGCCACTGAGCTAAATCCCTGGCCCTAGGTCATTAATATTATGAAAAAGAATTTTCCTCAAAGTAGACTAATGCTCATGAAGAGTTAACATGTCCTATAACAGAGAGAGGGAGGTCTTTAGGTTTTGAAGGTTTTTTTTTTTTTTTTTTTTTTGCTACAAATCTTGCTATCACCTTCTTTAGTAGAAAGTAAAGGAAGACCCAGGTGTGGCCAATGCCTGTCATCCTAGCACTCAGGAGGCTGAGGCATGGAGGATCACTAACAATATGAGAAATGCCAGCCTGGGCTACACAGTGAACTCAAGGCCAGACTGGACTTGCAGGGAGATCTTATCGCAAGAAAAAAAAAAAAGAAAAAGAAAGAAAGAAAGAAAGAGGCTTGTGAGATATTTTTTGATTAAAGAAAAAACAAACATAAGCCCATACAAACACTAATTATATACATATTAAAATGAAGTAAAAAATCTTTAAACTCTTACACTTGTGTGTAACTAGGTATATATATATATATATATATGTATGTATATATATATATGTATGTATATATATAAAAATATAAATATACCATATACACATACATATACATTTCAAAAAAACTATCTGATCATATTGGATAAGCTTTAAAACATGATTTTCTTACATACATTCAGATATATGAAAAATGGTTTGTTGAAATTATACTGTTACATTTAGATTTTAATCTTGTAGTAAAAGCACTACTTATGGGAGCCATGTGTGAATTTTGTGAACTTAATCAATGTTCCTGTCCTAGTTTCCCATCTGTAAAAGGTATAAGGACAGCACTTCAGAGTACTGCTGTGACAATCTAACCTGGTAACACTTGTGACATGCTCAGCTTAACATCTGATGTATTATAAACATCGTGTAATTATATGTGCATATAATTTAAAGAAGTCATAGTAGCGTATATAAGCCAAAAGACAAAGACTTTGTAATGGTGAACTGTGATCCAGAAGCTCTAATCCTGAGAATGTAAAAAAAATTTTTAAACATCTTTTTGAGACAAGATTTCACTATGCAGTCCAGAATGGCCTTGAACTCACTTCGTAGCCCAGGTTGGGCTCCAACTAACAGCGATCCACCTACCTCTGCCTCCCCAGTGCTGGGATTACAGGTGTGGGCCACCATACCCGGCTGAATGTTGCTTTTTGAGCAACTGAAATATTTCATGAAAAATCCTTTTGGCCTTCGTGTTTTTATGAGACAGTGGTTTGAGAAAAGCTACCTTAGCAGAGGATGAAGTCCGAAGCACCGCAGGGGCCATGCGGGGAGACCACCTCACGGTGGCCTTCAGGACAAGGGGCTCACAAGGATTTCCGAGTAAAGTGCGCAGCAGGCGTATTTTGTCCCCTTGTACACCGCACCGTTAAGTCATTTTTCTCACTTGTCTCACTTGGTGATTGCCGGGCCAGCAGGGGAGGCTGTCGGAGCATTCAGGTCTCCTCTTTCCAACTCAGGACGGTGCACCATTTACAGAGTCGCAGAAGCGAGGGGACCAGACCTTTCCACGCCGCTCGGAGCATTTCCTGAGCTCCCGGGTGCTCCGGGGACCCTGGTAACTTCGCCCCAGTGCTCAGGACTCCTATGAACTTTGCGAGGGAAGAGAAGCCCACCCGGGGCATCTCTGCGGAAGCCCAGGGTGCCCAGCCATCCGCAGGGGGGACGCGGCAGAGCCGCGCTGCCGAGCGCGGGGTTGACAGCTGCAGGGCGGGCGCTCCTCCGGGTCCCCGGCCGGTCTCCGGCCGCGGCGCCTCCTTAACCCGCGCCGGGAGGCGGGCGGGGCGGGGCGGGGCGCGGCGCGGAGCCGGGGAGGAGCCGGGGCCTGCAGCGGAGCCGAGCCGGGCCTGACACTGTCAGACGCAGGCATCCACCTCTGGCTCCCAGGAGCGGTGACGTCCGCGGCCAGAGCCGTAGCAGCGCCGGGACCCCAGGCGTCAAACAGGCCTGGCCTGGAGCGGGCGCTGGAGCCGCTGGAGCGCGGGGAGCTGAAAACCGCGCCCTAGGAGCCCGAGTGGAAGCGGGAGAGGAGACACAGTGGCCTCGGCCAGGAAGCAGAGGATGCGCTCGTCCCTCCCAGAGGTGACAGGATCCCATCCTGGCTCGGGAGGGGACCCCAGAAGTGGAGAGAGGTACTTCTGCCTTAAGCAAGCCGCCGCCCTCTGGACATGCGACACTTGGGAGCTTCAGGGGCAGAGAAGGGGTCCTGCCCGGGGCGGGGACACAGGCCCTGGCACTCACGGAGGGAGTTGTCCTCAACTGTCTATGTAGTCAAAGCTGACCTCAAACACATGGCCACCCCGCTGCCTCAGTCTCCTGAGTGCTTACGGGGGCTTACCATCAGGCCTGGCTAGAACAGACAATTTAGATACTAGCATTCTGAAGAAATGCTGTATTTTGGACCCCGATCAAGCGTCCTGATTGTCTGTCATAACAGACTGTTTAGTCTTGACTGATTTTATTCGAATTTGGTATACTTGATAGTATCAAGTCTAACAGCAGAGGCAACTACTCTGGACAAGATGCAATAGGATACCCATTCCAGTTCGATTATTAACTGCTTTTGAAGTCCTATAATGTCTCCAATAATTTTGTTTTAATATTGCTATGTAGGGCTGGGGATTTAGCTCAGTGGCATAAGCGCCTGCCTTGCAAGCAGGCAGTCGTGAGTTCAATCCCTGGTACCAATAAAAACGAAAAAGACAAAAAAATATTGCTATGTAGTGCTATGTTCAATTATATTATGCCTGATGAAATAGACAATTCTATTGAAAATAACAAGAGACAGCATAGTAACTACTGTAGATCACCTAGTATTGTGGTTTTTATATGCCTTTTTCATGTTTTTCTAGGAATTTGTTTCATTGACTTGTTTTGTTTTTCCCTCTCATGCAGATAGGATAAGTATACAGGTAGAGATTCACGCATGTGTAGAACTTCTAAACAGTTCACAAGAATAGATTATATAATGCACGATGTAATAAACAGATACTCTGAATAAAAAGAGACACTAAGATACTCAGTGCTAATTCCATAGCATCACGATATAAAATCTAGCAATATTATTATTCTCTGTCCAGAGTAATATTAGTCTGTTTTGTTTCATTTCAACATATGTAAAGATATAGACAGCTATTTTGAAGAGAACGAGAGACATTATGGCAGCCATTGTTGACTTCCCTATTGTCTGGTCTTGAAGACCTAAAATGCCTTCATCATCCTGTTCTGATCAGTTTAGTACTATTTTGTTTGGTATGAATTCACTGTGTGTGAAGATATGGACAACTATTTGGAAGAAAACAAGAGATAATATGATAGTGAAGATCTCCAGTGGCCTTGCTTTGAAATCTGTGTTTCTTAAATTATTTTCTTATAATCTGTTTTGTTATGTTTAATTTTACCCTCTTTAAAGTAAAAAAAAATGTATATAGCGTGAAAAATACAATATTGCATCAGTCAACCTCTCTGGATCTGACCTTTTCCACTCCCATAGCAGCCACTATTTATTAGGTGTCTACAGTAATAGGTGAGACTGGTAAAGGATTGTGATTCACCAGAAGACTCAGATTCAAGAGGGTGTAGATGATCATATGGTAAGAAGTCTTTCTCGGAGTATAATACTAGGGTGACTCAAGAAGGCATAGATGATTTTATGCTTAAAAGAGTCAATGGGAACTCTCAAAAGGGTGGTACCAATAATCCCAAACCTCCCTTTTATCCCACAGGGAAATATGTAAAATTAGCAATTGTGAATTTGTGGTCCCCAAAAATGGTGAATGTAGACTTGGGCAAAAACTACTAGTCAGGCTCTCATAACTTCTATGATAGCCCACTCTGTGTCTCCCACACCAGCATGTACTTTATTTTTCCTCTCACCCTCTTTTCCTCTTTACTTGGCCCAAGCTCCCTTTCTCTATCACTCTTCACTTTTACTTAGTTTCTTTTTTGTTTTTTATGTCTTGTTCGGCATAATTTCCCTACGCAGTCTAAGCTGGCCTTGAAATCACTTTGTAGCCCAGGCTGGCCTCAGACTCAGAGTGATCCTGCTGTCTGAGCCTCCTGAGTGCTGGGATCACAGGCATGAGCAACCACACCAGGCTCTTTTACTTTTTTGAATAAACTTTGCCACTGCATTTTGCTCATTTTAACTTTTTGTTCAAGATGAAGAGGGCCTGGAATCCAACTCCAGGAGTAGAGGTGAGCAATTTTAACCTGGTAACGTTTAGTTGGCAAGTCATTTTTTAGACACAAGCTACCCAATAACAGGAAGAAAGGTCATATGGGACCGGGGGTTTAGCTTAGTGGCATAAGCACCTGGCAAGTGTGAGGTTGTGAGCTCAACCCCCAGTATCAAAGAAAGAAAGAAAGAAAGAAAGAAAGAAAGAAAGAAAGAAAGAAAGAAAGAAAGAAAGGTCATATGGTCATATGTTGGTTACAGGGTGAGTTTAGTTTGTGAAAATGTAAGAAACTATATACTAGCCGGGCGTGGTGGCGCGCGCCTGTAGTCCCAGCTACTCGGGAGGCTGAGGTGGGAGGATCGCTTGAGTCCAGGAGTTCTGGGCTGCAGTGCGCTATGCCAATCGGGTGTCCGCACTAAGTTCGGCATCAATATGGTGACCTCCCGGGAGCGGGGGACCACCAGGTTGCCTAAGGAGGGGTGAACCGGCCCAGGTCGGAAACGGAGCAGGTCAAAACTCCCGTGCTGATCAGTAGTGGGATCGCGCCTGTGAATAGCCACTGCACTCCAGCCTGGGCAATATAGTGAGACCCTGTCTCTAAAAAAAAAAAAAAAAAAAAAGAAACTATATACTTGAAAGGAAAAACTAGAAAAGCTTGCATCGTGCTTCTGAGTATTTTTGTCTCTTTCTGGAAAATAGATTTGTGGTGACAAGTATTCAATGAGAAAAAGTGTTAAAAACAAGAAAAAAGGGGCTGGGGATTTAGCTCAGCGGCATAAGCGCCTGCCTTGCAAGCAGGCAGTTACGAGTTCGATCCCCAGTACCGATAAAAAAGAAAAAGACAAAAAAAGAAAAATACAAACAAGAAAAGAAGCTGGGTGTGGTGGCTCATGCCTGTAATCCCGGCACTCAGGAGGCTGAGGCAGGAGGATTGTTGCGAGTTCGAGACCAGCCTAGGCTACAAAGTGAGCTCAATGCCAGCCTAAACTACAGTGAGACCCTGTCTCAAAAAGACAAAAACAAAACCAAAGAAAAAAAAAAAAAGAAAGAAAAAAAATTTTAAAATATCAGTCAGGAGTGACATAAGTGGCATTTAAGTTGCTGTCTGGGTGCCACCCAAACACGGAAGCCACATATCAATTCCAAGTTGAATTTAAAGATAACAAACAAGCTACTTAGACCTGTAAGCCCAGGGCTTGACAGCATGAGGGAGAAGGATCACAGTCTTGCCTGTCTGGGGATATAGTGAGACTGTGTCTCAAAATAAAAACTAAAAGGGGTCTGGAGAGGATGGAAGAGCTGTGAGCAGCGACAGAGCAACCTTTGGAGATTCAGAATCCAACACTGGAGAACAACAACAAGAAGAGAGAAGTAGGAAGGGGGATCCCTGGGAGCCAGGAAGGATCTGAAGGGCAAATTGGAGCCCACGGAGAATGTGAAGAAATGAACTCCAGTGAAGACAAAGGAGAGGGCGCTCTGCACTGTCTCCCCAGCTCCTGGCTCAGGCAGGAGAAAGGAAGATGGAGTCCAGGGACACAACACAGTGACCCTGAGGAGATGAACTAGGGGAGCAGCACTGGCTGCTGGGGTGTCTGGCCCAGGGGAAAGTGGTTACCACACAGGGGTTACCGACAACACTGCAGAAGGAAACACTGATTACTGGCTGTTCCAGATCAGTAATCACTAATGGTCCAATGAACAGCAAAGCCCCAAACCCCTTAACGGTCATGGCATGTGCTGCAAGATGGCGTCACTCAGGCTGCAGGTGTTTCGGTTTACCTCCACGATGTCCTCCAAAAGCCCCACACAGTCCCAAGTGGGGATTTTTCAGAGGTGATTGGATTTAGAGTGTGATGCAGTATTCAATTCAGGGTGCAATGCTAGGATCGGGGCCACTACAGTTGAGGATATCATTGCTACCTGCCCAGTGTAGCTTGGATAAGATATAAAAGAGAGAATGAAGTGTAGTCAAACCTTGCTATTTTGCTATTTTTTCCTGCCACAACCCATATCTCTTTTGTGATGCCTCTCTCTACCTTTGATCCAGCTGGCTATGGACTACAACAGAGCTGCATAAATCATTCCCCTTTTAACTGTGAGCATCCAGTATATTGTTTCAGCCATGAGAAAGTAAGACAGAAGACCTTTGCATTTAACCTGCATAATGAGCAAGTATTGCTGTTTTCACAGATGAGACTTTAAAAATATTGTTCACATCATCTGCCCAGCCAGGACTAAAGACGATTATGTTGTTAATCCTAGCACTCGGGAGACTGAGGCAGGAGTGTTATTGCAAATTAGAGACCAGCCTGGGCAACAAAGTGAGCCCAATGCCAGCCTGAACTACATAGTGAGATCCAGTTGTTAAACATGGGGCAATCAAATTCTCAAGAATCACAAATGTATATGGAACTGTGTGTTGTATTCTTAACTTCTGTATTACTTTATTTTTGTGGACTTGCATTAGGGAGCGCTTTCATGGTTGCAAGTTTGTTGGGACAATCACAAAGGATTTGGTATGGAGCACTATTTTAAAATCAGGCCCAGAGCAGAAAAAAGATGACAGAACAACAGCCACCCTGATAATGTAACCGTTAACTTGAGCTACAAGTGGCAATTCTAGCCTTCTCAGTTCAGGGAAATTTTGCTACACTGCAGGCTACCATTTCCACCCTTCATAAAAGAGAATCATCCTTTAAGTTAGTAGTTCAGCAGTTGGTCTTTGAAAATACAAATAAATGGTGTGAAAAGGCTTCAAGAGCCCACAAAAAACAGGCTACACTGGCTGAGATGATTCAAATTTGTGCAAACATTGTACAGAGGGCTACCTTGACGGCAGCTATCACTCACG